CAAAAATACGAACTATAGTACTTTCAAAGATTCTATATGTAGCATGTATGTATGTACATATATGCGAGCTCTAATTACACTGTGAAACAAAATTAAACATTTCCCAAAATAGCAAGGTTCTGGCAACGGATTTCTTCTATTAGTTTCGATAAACATAAAACAGAAGCAATTGTTTGATTGTGTAAAAGCTTCAACAAATAAAACTAAATTCAGATTTTTTATCCAGCTAAAAGCATAGCAAAAGTATAGAAGGCTTAAAGATTGACAAAAAAATGCCAAGTGAAAGGGGATAACGCTCGCTTTTTTTAATGCCGAACTTATACCGAATTTCCACTAGGCATTGAAATGACAAAACAGATTAAATTAAATATTTATACATATAAGTATAATTAACTTAAAGACACAATTATATATTTTTTATCATCAACTTTGTCACTTAGGGCCGTTTTCACCATCTCTGGTTAACACTAATCTGCAGTTAAACATCGTTACTGACCTTATCAACACCATGACTACTTACCTTAAATTATATTTTTATATTGATTTCAAATTGTAGCCAAATACAGTCGTTAATAATAAAATTATTAATATTTTTTTGTTGGTATTTTGCTTCTTTTCCAAAATGTATATACCTGTAGATGTCGCGAATTCTTTGTGATATGTGAACTTGCTTTCTCACTTCTTGAAGACTATAAATAAATATTTCAGGATTGTATTTTTTGCAGGAAAACTCGTTATAGAAAACAGTATATTTATAGCAACTTATACATATACGGAATGCTAATAAAGGGGAAAGATAAATAACCTCTTAATACGAAGATTTTTTTTAGTTAAAAATGCAGAAGTTTACGTCAGCCCTTTTTCCATTTTTTATGACAAATAAACTATCACTCTTTGGTCAAAGTATAGAACCAGAGTTAGGTTTAATAACAGATTCATACTCTGGATTGAATTTCTATATTATAGCCGTTCTTTCAGCAAACGAGCGTGAGCGACTCAGCCTTGAATAATACCTTCACCACTTAGTAAATATTTTCTCAGATGCCATCCCCAACAGCGAGTTGAAGAAATTATTGAATTTGTATTGTTGCCTTCCATGCTTCTTTCGTGACTCTGTTGAAATAGAATGGGCTATCGTATGTACAGTAGCGGACACCACACTCCGGACACGGATTAGTCGCCTTATAACTCTTACCATTAAATGTTTGGCTTTTTTTATTGCATATGCAAATTAGGATAAATTTTGTAGTTTATTAAAATTTAGCTAAATACAGTGCAAGTCGAAGTAGTTAATACTTAGCGGTAATTAAAAAAAAAAAATTCGTTGTACGTATGAACTATATTTTTATCAAAATATCCAAAATTTGTATTTACTTAGACACAGCGGAATTTTAACTGCACATACTGTACAAAGGA